GAATAAACAGCTTATGCAAGTTAGACCTATGCAGGATTCCAGTAAAAGTCACTTTAAAGAAATATTATCAAACTGGATCAGATGCAGTTTAGATCTCAGCTCTGCGTCCCATCCATAGAGTTTGAGCACGTGATATTTTTACGTATCTTTCGATATATCTGGATATCTTTCACAAAACTTTGTTGTAATGCCTTATTAAAGATTTTATTTTATTTTATTTTTGCAGCTTTCTCAGGACTTCTTGCAATGGTTTAACAGTAGTTCAGTTCTTCTATGTAGTTAAGCCTGTAATATAAATTGTCCTTAATCAGGAAGTAATTAGTTCTCTTGGTTTTTCTTTATTAAGGAGATTAAAAGTTTATCTCAGCAGGGTAGAGGTTAAAAATGGCAATTTAATACTATAGCCTTGCCAACAGCGGAAAACAAAGAGCAGTAAGGCTCCTGGAAAAATATGCTAAGCATCTTTCTCTCCACTCCAAGTAGTATTTTTATCGTATACTAGTGAAATGCCCATCAAGAGTGTTATGGACTGACAGACAGACAGACGGACTAAGCCATATATATTATTGTCAATGAGAATTTATGGAAATCATCTACCTAAGTGTCTGGTATAAGACTACTCACGCAAACAAGTGAAGAAGTTCAAGATGTTTTGGAAATCTATTGCCCAAGCATAGGAAGATATAATGGCTAGCCCTTTCTTTAGAAAGTTCAGTTTTCTTAATAGATGCATGACAGTAGATACCACTGTAGGCGTGTATGCATTCAAAACCAGATATTTCAGTATCATTATCTGTCAGGGCCACACATGACAACATCTGTACAAGGTCTTGTGTTAGAGCACAACAAGTGGCAGTAGGGGGGCTATATTACTCACTCTCTGTTCCCTGTCAGTAAATGGCAACAAGTTGTAGCCTTGAAGTATTTGACCTGCTAGGATCAACCATTTTCTAACTCTCCCAAAACATTTCAATTTTTTTAAAGAAATCTTCTAGATATTCTTCAGGTTTTTAAAATCTCACTCTCCGAAGCCTCTACTCTTTTCCTGGTTTATGAATTACTGATATTAGGTTTCTCTTTGATGAAAGGAAAAGGATGTTCTCCCAAAATAACTCAGTAAACACCTTAGCCATTTTTCTCCGTACAGATGCCATCTGGCCTACGGGCACTCTCCATTTTCATATTCTTCATATCCCAATTTGTTCTCTGATGTGAGACATCAAGATATCTATGTGAGGTTACAGTAATTTATATTTGAAAAATTGATCTAAAATATCTGTGGAGGCCCCCCACACAACCCTGCTTCTCCATCCCCCCCCACACAATATACAAGAGTAAAACTTTATTTTGAGTGATTGCGCAATTGTCTCTATATGCACTACTCAAAAAATGTAAACCAGGATAAAACTTATTTTTTTTCAATAACATTTAAAATATGTTATAGTAGATGTTTGACTTTATTATGTGATTTTGTTTTTATCTATAATTTGTTAAAATATCTTCTGAAAGATTTTGTGTATGGCCCGCGACAACTTGCCAGAACTCATTAAGTGGCCCACCAGCCAAAATAATTGCCCACCCCTGGACTAAGTACTTTTTTAGGGAACAAATTTGTGTGAGTTTTTTCCTTTTTCTGTTCCTTCAGATAATGATACTAAAGAGCTCCCCCTGAAGTCTGCCAGGTTAGGGTTAATATTAAGGTACATTCTTAAGGTTTTTCTTCATCTGGAAAAACCGTTTTGTACCTGTTGATATTTACCCTTTAGCTTCTCTCATCCATCCTGTCAGTGCATACAGAAAGGAGTCAATTAAAGGTACAGTCAGTTGAATTCTGACCATTCATGTGCTTTGGTTTCTATTGTTCTCAGCAGTCAATTTTTCCAGCTGGGCAGTACAACCAGCAAGCCCTAATTGGCCATCTTGTTTGGGGCAGG